GTGATATAGCCATACAATGGAATACTACTTGGCATAAAAAAGAATGAAACATTGATACCTGCTAGAATAGGGATAATCTCAAAATAACCAGGCTGAGAAAAAGTGAAGACCACATCCTACTAGCCACCAAAAAAAGAAGTACATATCGTATGATTCCAGTATAGAAAGCATGCCTGCAGTTTGGAAGTGATGAAAGGTAGAGGTAGGAGGAAGAACAGGAGGGTGGGATTACAAAGGACAAAAGGAAACTTTTGAGAGTCATGCATATGTTCACTATATTGACTGTGGTGCTGGTTTCACGGGTAAACACATGTAAAAACTTAACAAACTGTATCTGTTAAATATGTGCAGATTATACTACGTCAGTTATACTTCATATAAAGCCATTAACTTTTTTTTTTAAAACAAAAAAAGCAACCCAGAGACTTCTGCTTCTGGAAGGATGGGGTAGATATACTCTTCCATATTGCTCCCACTAAGTACAAATAAAACTCCTAGACATTGTTTATACAACAAAAAGTAAGACACGAAAGGGTAAAGAGAACAGGGGTGACCAGCTAGGGACATTCTCACCCAAGGAACAACAGAGTGGTGAGTTCCCTGGGCATTCTTTTTGGTTTACATATCCCAGACTGGGTTTTGGAAAGCTGATAACCCAGAAACACCAACAAACATAGACCAAAAAAGCCCCAACAAAATAATGCTATCTCTGTCCAAAGGATCAGGAAAGGGGCAGCCTAGCAGGGCATCCCAATATTCCTTGCTGGGTTAGTGTCAGGAGGTCAAGCTGACATACCATGGTGTCAGTGAAGGCCACACAGGGAACAGTACTGAGGCACCCTTCCTCCTCCCAACCATGTTGGTGTTGGTGAAGGTTTAGTGGGGACTCTGAACTCTATCCCCACTCAGCAATAATGAGGTGCTCTTCCCCTACCAGCATGTTAACAGAGGCTGAATGGAGACCCTGGGCTTCCACACCATGTTACAGTAATGAGGGGCACCCCTCTTCCCCTGCCAGCATGGTGTCAGAAGGGGTCTGTGAAAATAGAAGGTTTAAATAACATCTATAGTCTCATAATATTATAGGCAAAATGTCCAGGATTCAATCAAAATCACTTATATGAAGAACCAGGAAGATCTCAACTTGAATGAGAAAAGACCATGGATTCCAGCAACAGCACTGAAATGACACAAATGTTAGAATTATCCAATGAGGATTTTAAAGTAGCCAATAAAAAAAATGTTTCAAACAAACAATTATGAATACTTGAAACAAATGTAAAACTATAAAGTCCCACAAAGAAGTAGAAGATATAAAAAAATAACAAATGGAAATTTTAGAACTGAAAAACAAAAACAACAAAAACAGAACAAATCCTCCATGGATGGGCTCAACAGCAGAATGCAGAGGATAGATCAAAGAAGAAAGAAGTAGTGTGCCTGAAGAGAGCACAATAGAAATCATCCCATCTGAGCAACAGAGAGAAAACAGACTGAGAGGAAAAAAAGAAGAACAGAGCCTGGGGGACTGTGGGACTATAATATTTTGGAGTCTCAGAATTTTCTTTCCCAGTGGAGTCTCAGAAGGAGGAGGGAAAGAGAGTGAAGCTGAAAATATATTCAAAGATATAATGGTGGAAATTTTTCCAAATTTGGCAAAAAAAAACACATAAACCTACAGATTCAAGAAGCTAAGTGAATTCTGAAAAGGATAAACCCAAAGAAATCTACACCAAGATATATCAAATTCAAGTTTCTGAACACTAAAAAAAAATCTTCAAAGCATTGAGTGAAACATGATATCTCATTTATAAGAGAAAACATTTGAATGACAGCAGATTTCTCATCACAAACCACAGAGTCCAAAAGGATGTGGCAAGACATTTTTCAAGTGCTAAAATAAAATGACTGTCAATCCAGAATTTTATACCCAACAAAAAATATCCTTCAGGAATGAGGGGCAAATCAAGACATTTTTCAGAAGAGGGTAAACTAAGAGTTGTTACCACAAGACCTACTTTAAATGAGCAGCTAAAGAGAGTACTCAATCAGAAAGGAACTACAAAAGCAGGCATCTTGAAACATCAGGAAGGAAGAAAGAACAAGAAAAGACTAAACAATTGAGTAAATACAACTTGAGTAAAGGCACTTCTCTTAAGTTTTTAAAATTACATTTGGCAGTTGAAGCAAAAAATTATCAGTCTGTCTGATACTGTTTTCAACGTACATAGAGGAAATGTTTAAGATATATTATAAAGGGGAGATGATAAAGAGAGTTAAGTGAAGAGAGGAAGAAAGAAAATGAAGAGAGGAAGAGGTGGGTGTGACTATAAAGAGGTAGGATGAGGGAGATCTTTGCGGTGATGGAATAGTTTTATATCTTGACTGTGGTAGTGGTTACACAAATCTAGACATGTGATAAAATGGCACAGGACTACGCACACACATTTCACTAATGTCCATTTTCCGGTTTTGACACTGTACTATAGTTACACAAGTTATATCTGTGGGAACCTGGGTGAAGGGTATAGGTAATCTCTCTGTACTATGTTTACAACTTCTTGTGAATCTATAATTATATCAAAATAAAAAGTTAATTTAAAAAGACAAAGTAACTATATAAAAAAATTTTTAAGTAGCAATAAAATTTTTAAGTAGCACTTTCCTTAATAAGTGAAAGCAAAATCACATGAATTAATCCAGCTACGTATTGTTAGTGGCACAACCACACAGAAGAACTATTCCAAGTGACCTTAAAACCCAGTAATTTGACTCTACAAGCTTCATGGGAAATATGCTAAGGATGAAAAAAAAATCACAAAAATAAGAGGAAAAAAAACCTTAAATCACTTCAGTAAACGTATTGTTTGTAGTCTCACTTTATGCTGATCTTACTGTGCATATATCATGGAATAAAGCAAATAAGTAATTATGCTGGCATCATTAATAGCCAGGAATTTTTTGATGTGGGAAAAAAGAGAAAATTAAGGTAGCTAGGTAAAAACCATGTAAAACTGAATTGAATGGACAATATCAGTAAATTTCATTATGTATTTTCTCTTAAAAAGAAAAAAAAACAAATTATGTTTCTTTAGTTCTGCTCACTGAAAGGTCCTAGAAACAACAGACCAACCCAGGGGCAATGAGCACCACCAGACTGTGGTCTCGAAATAGCATTCCTACAAAGAGGAAACAGAGTTCCTTAGAGAAATAGCTGATTTCAGGTCTGGGGCAGGATGTGTACAAGATGAGCCTCAACATCTTGTCCCAATATTAGGATAGCAAGGAAGCGATCCGAAACTACTAGGTTGTTTCGAAACACCAGCAATGGACAAAAGCCCTCACTGGCCAAAGATGGGACCATTGAAGCATCAATAAGAGTAAAAGCTACAACGAACTGAAATGTATCCAGTATGTTTAAATCTGTGAATTCATGATGGTACTCAAAATCATAATAATAACTTTACTGATTGCCTTTGGAGAATATTAGGGGACCAACTCATTATTTTGAAAACTGGTAAATAAAAGGGAAACATCATTTATCCCTCCTTCCATATGTGAACTATACATCACAATAACCAAAATTTGAATGAGGAGATGTTTCTCTTTATAAACGTTGTAGAGCTAATAAATAAAAAAAGTAATGACAGCCTCAAATTGAATGTCACCATTTTGCAACCCTTAATAGAATAAAGGACCTAGGCAATCATGATCCAGGGCTGCTAATGTTGGTAAGAGAGAGAGAGATCCAGACCCCACAAGCCTCCTGATGAAAATACACATCTCCACCTAGGAACTGTTCTTGCCCCCAGAATTGAACCTGAGGCTGTTCTTACCAATTCAGAGGAATAACACCATGGGGGTGCAATCAGAAAATCCAGACTCTGGGAAACCCTACAGTGCGAACAACCCAGTTTCTTCCACAAATACCACGAGAGAGAGAGAGAGCAAGCTACAGATTTAAAAAGACTGAAGAGACACATCAGCCACTGCAATGTGGGAGTCCTACATGGATCCTGATTTCAACTACATGGGAAATAAACGTTGAACAAATATTTGATGTTATTAAAGTCTTATTGTTAACTTTGAGCTTTGATAGCTATCGTGGGTTGCTGTGTTATCTTCTTACCATTTATAGAGATACATAGTGAAAAATTTACAGATGAAATAATATGCTGTGTTGATATACTTCAAAATAACTCGGGTTCAAGGAAGAAAGTGGGGGGTGAGTATAAATGAAACAAGATTGGCCATGAGTTGATTACTGTTGCAGCTGGGTGATAAATACACAGAAATTCATTTTACTGCTCTCTCCACTTTTGTATGGGTTTGACATTTTTCCATAATGAAAAGTTTTTAAAATATACCCATATAGAGCCAGAAAACTGCATTCTTCTAACTGTTCCCTGATCTCCACCCGTTGGTCTTTATTCTGTTCTCTGGAGCCTAGAGACTAGTGTCACAGTAATAGTAATAATAACAACAACATTAACACTAACAGCCAACATTTTTAGAGCACATGCTTACTATGTGCTAAACACAGGTTATGCGCTTTTTATGAATATTTTCATTTCATCCGGACAAAATCCTTCAGTAGGCACTATTAGTATCCCCATTTTACAAATGAGGAACCTGAGGGGAATAGGTTTCACAGCAAAGCTCAGCCTCAAACCAAAATCTGACCACGGGTTTTCAGCTTGTAACCACTAAACTACACCAACACAGAGTAAAAGGTGTCAGTCCTCAGTCTTCCCTTTTAGGAGTTAAATATCCCGAGTTCTTTCACTCCACCCTCGCCGCCAATGTGGTTTCAATGTCCCACACCATCCTTGGAGCCAAGAGTTACAGAAGTAGTTGAGTTTCTTTAAAGTATCCCTGGTTCCCTGAACAGCTTGCCCCTCCCCTACCCCAGCTGCTGGGAATCCCGGACAATCTCTGGTCCACCTGTAACCAGGCTGGGAGCCCGCAGATGCGCACGCCCCAGGGGTGGCATGGCTCACCTGGGCCTCGGTGCCTCTTCTCCATCCAGATGTAGCAATTGTTCTGTGCTACCCCAGTCTGCGAGTCCAGGAACGGGAGCCGCACACTGCGCTCTGCACACAGGCGTGAGTTGTAACTCCGACAGTGCTCAATGGCTTCCTTGTAGAACTGGTCCCCGAGCCTGTGGGGAGACAGAGGAGGAATAAGGCCAGGGAAAACCAAAATACACCCAGAGAGAAACTGATGTCACCCATTCACCTTCCTGGGAAGATTTTGCAGTTCTAATGACCAAGGCAATGTGTACCAAGAACCTTGTCAAGGAGCAGAATCCAATTCAGTGTCATGTCCCCAGCAGGTTTTATTTCCTATGCCAAATCCACCAGTGAACTTAGAAAAACTCTTTAACCAAGAAACGAGGACCCCAAAAACAAACCACCAGTAAAAGTGACAAGTCCCTGTTCTAAGAAGCATTAAGTCCTACTCCAGAATGGAGGCAGCTCTGGAACACCCTTCTGCATAGGATCTACTAGGCCACCCCCCACCACTGGTCACTTTTTTCCCCAGTGGTAATGTTGCAGGAAAATGGGATGCAAGAGGATGGCCATATCCCAGGTTTCAGGCGAGTTCCTGAGATGCACCCCGCCTACTGGGGGTCCTTGACTTCATGCGGGAGAGAATTCAAGAGCGAGCCATAGTAAAGTAAAAGCAAGTTTATTTAGAGAGATGCACACTCTATAGACAGACTGCTGGCTATCTCAGAAGGCAAGAGAGGCGGCCCTGGGGTGCAGGGGTGGTTAGTTTTTATGGGCTGGGTAATTTCATATGCTAACAAATGAGAGGATTATTCCAACTATTTTGGGGAAGGGGAGGGGATTTCCAGGAATTAGGTCACTGCCCACTTACTGGCCTTTTACGGCCAGCCTCAGAACTGCCATGGCACCTGTGGGTATGTCACTTAGCATGCCAATATATTACAATGAGCATATAATGAGGCTCCAGGTCTGCTGGAAGTCAAGTCTTCTGCCATCTTGGGCCTAGCTGGTTCTAACTAGGTTATGTCCTATCCTGTTTTTCTCAATGGCTGTGTCACTCTTTAAACGGTTATGCCCTGCTCCCTTCCTTCCTATCTCAGTAACCAGCAAAGGCACTCAAACTACCAACACAGACACAACGATTTCCATTACAATACACTCCATATAAAAGAACAGAAGGTCAGAGGAAATATCCTGTGAAAGCAGAACTATTATAGGGGGAAGGAGGTAAAGAAGGGCAGTCACCAATCTTTTAAAATCACACACTTAAAGAAAAATAACTTTCTGGTGGAAAGACGAATGAAAGAAGCATTTAAAATAATAATAGTTGAATGTTGAACTCGAAATAATTCAATCCCCAGAGTTTAAAACAAATAGAAAGACCTTTCCAGTTTGCTGGAGTGGTGATCTGATTCAGCATGGTATATTTTATGTTCCTGAGTCTTTGGCATCCTTGGGACACGTGGTGATGCTACTCTTTTTAGGATCATGTCCTTTTCAAAGACCAAAAACACAACATTAATATAACTGATCAAATGTAAAACACGAACATTATCAATGAGGTCAAATACCTAAAAACAAAAAGATAGGCACTTGACAGAGATTAATAAGTGGCCCAAAGAAATACAAATGTAGTAACATAATGCCTGCCAGGTAAACTTGAGCTTCTCCATGGAGGGGGGTGGAAAAGGCAGGAAAGGGAGGAGCCACAAGGACTGCAGAGCCAAAAAGGAGAATCAAGTAGCTCATTCTGAAGGGACAGTATGAATGTCCCTCTGTTTTGGTCTCCGTAGATTCGAGGAAGCCAAAATGGGAGGAGGGGCAGGGTTGGGGGCTAAGTTTAAAATAGGGGACAGTAGTCTAGCTCAGTGGTAGAGTGCATGCTTAGGGTGCACAAGGTCCTGGGTTCAATATCCCATATCTCCACCAAAAAGAATAAATAAATAAATTACCTCACCCCCCAAAAATAAAAAATAAATAAAATAATATATTTCTTAACCAAAATATTTAAAGAAAGAAATTTTTAATGGATTCTTCTGTATTCTTTTTAAAATTTTTATTGAAGTATAGTTGTACAATGTTTTCTAAGTAACAGGTGTACAGTACAGTGATTCACAGTTTCTAAAATTCATACTCTATTTATAGTTATTACAAAATACTGGTTATATTCCCTGTATATTCTTGTAACTGTAATCCCCTACCCCTATTTGCCCCTCCCTCCGTTCCCTCTCCCCAGTGGTAACCACTAGTTTGTTCTCTGTATCTGTGTCTGCTCCTTTTTCGTTATATTCACTAGTTTGTTGTACTTTTTAGATTCCATATATAAGTGATACCATACAGTATTTATCTTCTATATTCTTTTTTAAAAGTCAGTGGGTCAAATCCTACGAAAGAATTTAAAGCAAATTTCTTACTCTGGGACAAAACAATCATTAAAGCGTCTGAGGTGTCTTTTGGAAACTCCTTGTAGACATGCCTCCTAGAAAAAAGCACTTTGCTCCTTTTTTACCTCTGGACATCTTCCCTCTCACAAGGAAGGCATAACAGCTCAGAAAATGTCTAGCAGTTGCAAAACCTAATGGTAATCAAATTATAATAGTCACACAGCTGGAAATGAATGGGGGAGGGGGGATGAAAGCCCATCAAAATGCTATAAAACGGAACGGCGCATAAGCTGATGTAATCAAAGTCAGTAACAAGGATCATGAGATTGATCAAAAATAAAGAACCATTTCCTACAAAGCACTCGCATCTGTGTCCCACCAGCTTAAATGCCTCCTTCTGCTAAGGCAAGGCAGCTCGTTGTAACAGAACTGTCCAGGCAAGATGACACACAGCCGTCCAGGGTGTCCTAGAAGCTCCAGCTCCCCTCCACAAAACAGGGTCCAGCCACACCACATGAATGAACACTGACAAGAACACAGGACAGAGAACTGTCCAATGTGAGAAACCTTCATCTGGTTTCCCACCATCTTTCGACAGACTGACAAAAAAAAAAAAAGATAACTATTCTGACTCAAGAAATTCTGCTGAAAGAGAACCCATTGAAAGAAAGAAAGAGAGAGAGAGAAAGAGAGAAGAAGGAAGGAAGGAAGGAAGGAAGGAAGGAAGGAAGGAAGGAAGGAAGGAAGGAAGGAAATTGTACACTAAAATTCATCAACTGGAGAGAAGAGGGTTTTCATTTTCAAAACAACCTTCTGCAAGTCAATACAAAAGAAATCTACAGTAGGGTCTCAAATGAGACCTTTCCCGACATGCCTGGAACTCACTTCCAACAGCTTCAGTCCCAAAGAGAGAAATAAGAAAATGAACTTGCTGAAAACGAGAAGTGAGTATGGCCAAGTCCATGCCCCACACCGAATGGAACGAAAAAGTCAAACAAAGTGGCTCGCTGGGTGAAAATTAATTTCATCTTAAATACTTTCCACTTTCATAACATGCAATGTTATTAGTAACAGGCATGCTGGGTGGAAATGTGTATTTTTAAATGTAATCTTTGTGTGAATGATACCTCTTTTATGTAAACACAAGAGATTTTCTGAGGACTGGAACAACCGTATTAAAGAGTGAAGCTACAAAAATGTGACAGCCATCACCCTCTGCCATGTCTCCAGGGAAGTCACTTTTAAACAGACTAGGTGTTGGCAGGGATTCGGAAACAAAAGTTTAAAGCCCTTTTCAAGATATGGGAGGAGAAAAGAGACTTCACCCTCTTTGATAAATTCAAGCAGCACTTCTCCAAAAGTTAATTAGCCAAAATCTTCACAGGGCTTGCTCTGTTCTCGAGAAGAAAATCAATGCCCAGGACTCCCTAACCCGTGGAAAGCAATTTAAACAGCAGAGGGGACAAATGTCCTTTTCAATATGGTATTTCTTAAAAAAAAAAATCCCACAATGATAGGATCCCAGGGGTGACATTTGCAGTAAAGTTGCAAGGGGCAGAGGGAGCAGGGAAAGGCTGGCAGCCAAAATGACTCATTTCGTGCAGGGGTGACCAGGGCGCCCCAGGCTGGGTCAGGCACGGCCCAGTCTCAGCCTTCACCTGTCTGCACCAAACCAAGGAGGCTGGATTTTCCACAGGATGATAGATGGCTTGGGCTCGAAGAAGCTGGCAAGAGGCGGAGTAGAATGATGTTCTCATCAACAACTGACTTCAGGCTACTCAAGGCTGCAATCAGGAGCCGGAAAGGTGGGGGAACAAACTGCTGGGCGCTCCACCAGAGCAGGAGTCCCCCGCAGCCTGCTGCTTGGAGCAGTGCAGGCTGCCGGCTTCTGGGGGCCTTCTGGGGGCTTCGTGAGGGGCTCTGTGGGATCCCTGGCTATCCAGCCTGGGGTGAGAGCGCCATCCCGGCTCTGAGAGCCTGCCAGTGCCCCAGCTTGAGCGCATCCGTGGAGAAGTGGATTCCAGGCACCAAAGAGGATTCAGAGTGGGAAGAGTAACACTCCTTCAAAAGGGATTTTCAGAGGCCATCACACTCCTCTGAGACCCTCTGCTCCTCTTCCTCACGCTTCCATACCCCTCTCCCAAGACCTCGCCTGTTTGCTTAGATCCCATCTCCACTGTCCTGCTCCAACCCTCCCGCCCAGACACCTGGGCTCCACCTCCCTCTTCACTGTCCCTCTGGTCCTGTGTTCTGACCTGGGGACAGGTGTCCTGCCCTATATCAAACGTGTCCAAGAGCCAAGTCCTCATATCCCACCAGAGCCTGCTTCTCCCTGGAGTCTCCGGGCTTCCAGGGGTGGGGGAGAGGACCTGAGGGAACACCACTCTGCATCTCCCTAGCACGCTGTCCTTGATCCTTCCCCTCCCTTTATCCCAGCTGGCACTGAATTCTTTCATGTCTCGGGGAGCTGTCCCCTTCTCTCCTTTCCCACCACGTGGCCACAGGTCCCTTCTGGCTGTAAAAACAGGACCTTGGCCGATCACTGCTTTTTGTGCACATAAACAGAGATAAGCAGAGATAGAGTAGCCCTGGTCTGTGGCGGAATTTCTGGCCCCTTCTTCTCCTCATCGGCCCCTCTCCTGGGTGGGCATGGGGCTTCCCTGCTGTCCGCCCACACTGCCACAACTGCCCGCGTGCACACACCTTAAGACTCATCTCCACCAATATGCTAACGTCCTCCTGTTTGCATTTAAACATGTCTAACT